AGGGGGCTCTGACCCCCCGGGCTGGGGCCGGCTGCCCTGCGGCCTCCCCTTAAATTAATGACGGTTTTTATTGTTGATAACGATCTTTTATTAATTCCACCCGTGCTCCGTAGGGTCCCGTTACGAGCCGGGGCCTGCAGGCGGTGGGGAGCGTGCAGTGGGTGCCATACCAGCCCCGGACCCCTTCGCCTCAGGGCCCCTTCTCCTCAGCGTTGTCTGTGTTTTAGACACTTTCTGTGTTTCAACTGGTCGTGCCAGTTTTCCAGCCGTGCCAAATGTGGCACTGATGCCAGCCATTTGCTGCTGCTGCGGACTTACAGTTGAAGGGAACTGACTCTTCTAATTAAAAAATAAAAAGTGATTTAGGCTCTTTGAAGCGTTATCACTTTGGTGTGTAAACAGTGATTCCTGATGGGCCCTTTAAAAATCCTGCGGTCTTGCTTTGGGAACAGCATGCTTTTCTTAATCATTTAGTATAGAAGTTTACTTCTCTTCATGTAAATGTATCTATAAGCTATAAGTGTATACATGCATCCTCTATTTTTCAACCATTTTAAGCTATACACTTGCTCTGAAGATGCAGACACTACCTGGTGAACTTCAGACACTGCTATGCTCTCACTGTGCTTTTTTGTAACAGTGTTGTCGGTTTTTCTCACAGCAAACATAGTCCTAATCAATCTTCGTTCTTCATACAGATTTCTTACCAAAAATCCTTGTACTTCTTCATTTTCTTTCTGCCTTTCTATTAATAAATTGCGTAGAAATTATCATCAGGCATCTTGCAACTTTTTAATGGAGAAGTAGGCAGGAAATACAAGGCTGCCTCAGGTGAATTGTCAGCTTAAAAATATATCTGTGAGAAATACAACAACGCTCTCTGAGTAGCAATGATGGTCTTGATATATTTTAAGGTGGGTGGAATAATTTTACTCTGTGCTTCTGTCTTTGTAAACAATTTCTCTAACCCCTGTCTTGAGGTATTCCTTCATTTCCTCTTTCTGGTTTTTATTTATTTATAATAGCAAAGATTTGTATCCAACTGCAATGTTGAAAAGCAAACAAACAAAAAAACCCCAGGGGAATCCTACGAAGTGCTGCAAGATCTTTCCAGCCCTTATTCAGTCTTCAGTAGTGGCCAGGAGTAGGTGGCTAGGGAAGACCAGCAGAACAGAGCAGCCATACATTAATGCATCTTCCAGAAATATCTTCAAACACAAAACAGTTCGTTGCTGACTGCTTTCGAGGGAAAGGTCCACTATTTAAAATCCCATAGTGGATTTCTCTTCCATAAAATTCTCACTTTGACACTCTTGAACTTGCAGCATGCACAGCAGCCTGTGCCAGGGAGGTCTGCGCAGGTGGTGTAGAGGACGTTCTTCTGCTCTGGATTTCCAGCTGATCTCTCTATTTGGTGCAGCCCAATTTTTGTGTTGGAATGGACAGTGAGCGGTTGACTTCTCTGCTCTCTCTGCATCTTACAGACATAGGTCATATCCAGGATGAAAAGTCATAGCCTGCTGTCTCGCTTCTCAGTAACTACGAAGTGATTCCATAGCTTTGTTACTTCTTGTCACTTCTTTCTTGAAACTTTCCTGGTCCTACCACGTCCTTTTGAAGCCTGGGGGATCAGGGACAATACTGCTCAATCTACAGCCTTTCCTTGTACTTCCTAATGTCAGTTGGTGGGGAAAGGACCACACCTCTTCTGAGGATTTACACCTCTTCCTTTCCTGAAAACTCTTTTAAAATCACTAGGTGGTAGTCAGGACTGGTGCTCAGCTCAAGAGTCCATCCATTCATGTGTGAAATCAAGAGCAGATTTTTCCCCAAGTCCACCACTTGACTATTTTTTGTCCTTTTATCTCTGAATCACTCAGCCTCTTAAATCCTTTTGAAATTCTTCAGTAGGCCCTAGGGCAAATGCTGATGGCACCAGCACTTAACCCTCAATATACGGCCCCAGGTGATAGCAAATTCCTTCCTTGCTCCCCTCCTTTTTTCAGGTTATTCAGCTAGTCTTAAACAATTCTAAACTGTTTTCAAGTTTTTTTAGTTGCTAATATATTAGTATGAGTCTTCGGACCTCCTCCTTGCCTGCTTTGTCTTGCTAGTACTGCGTTTTGCCAGAAAATAACATATAAATATTATTTTGTTAACTTTAAACATCTGATGATACAGATGGGCGAACAGTTTTCATCTGTCCAGGATGGCATTATTTCACAGTGGTTACTAAGGATAAGTGATAATTAATGTCATTATTGTCCAACATACTGTTTATATTTTTTTTTCTTCACACTTGGAGTCATTTTTGCCTGTTAGAAACACCAAATTATTGGAAACAAAGTAACATACTTGTATAATTCAGTTATATCAGCAACACTTGTACTAATTTGTTGTTGGTTTGATTTTGTTAAGATGGTGTGGTCGTCTCTGGAGAAGTGGAAAGCAACAACCTGGATGTGGAAGTTACTGAGTCAGAATTGGAAACTGAAGAAAAAAGAATGGAGGAGAAATCCACAAAGGAATTGGACAGCAACATTTTGGATGTATCATCCGATTATCCAAGAGGTTTGCTAATAGATGCAGAGAATATTTGCGTGGCGGGCTTGAGGAAAGGAGGAGAAAAGGTAGAAGTAGTGGGGAAGAAAGGTGAAGGGAATGTGTGAAATCTCATTTTCCATATGTCTGGTAGGTATAGATACATTTTTTCCCCATATATCTGAATAAAACATTTTCTTAAGGCCTTAGAAATCTCTTTCAAATGAGATGCCATTTTCCCCTTACTAACATTTCTAGAAATCACTGTGGAAGTTTGGACATACACAGTGAGAGAAGTCAAGGTTAGATAAGATATGGACTACATCAGGCTCTGATGCTGAAAGCATCACGGAGAGCAGAGAAATTCTTGTTCTATCCAAGTGCAGAAATTAAAAGCCAGGTATTGCTTTTAACCCTAGCTTTAAAGTTCACCTCTGTATCTTCAGTGCATTGATCAATCGCTTTGTTTCACATAAGAAAACCTGAAGACTAATCCTGTAAAAACATCGCAAAGGTTTAAAATTGCTGGAGAATCAGTATTACTGTGAACTGGGATGTTCTGTGTGCTGAAACCAATAAAGGTGATTTATTGGATAAGCTAATTCTCTTGTTTGTAGCAAATTCTCCACTGTTACCAATGACTGATAAGTTGAAAAATCAGAAGGTTAATTTAAAGGTTACAATCTCCTAACAGGAAAAAAAAAAAAAGTGGTAGAATTTAATATATCCTGGCTATACAGTGAATAATTGTTACTTGAAATTGGTCTACTTCTAGCTGAAATATTGTAGTTTTGCCAGACAGCTCATAGAATGTTTTTATACTGCTTTGTGCATGATTTGCGTTCACACAGTTAAATCAGGAGTAAATGGAATGTGACCTGATCTTTTCAGCTTGTTTTTTCAAATGAAGGTCTTTCTAATTTGAGAAATTTGATGTGTTTCAGCATTAAAAAGCAAGTAGAAATAAATGGAGCTTTAATTAAAGAACCATTCTGGGGATTAATTTTGCAGTCATTCCTTCTACGACGGAAGCTAAAGCATACAAACAAGTATTCCAGTTGGTACTATAGTCAGTCTCTAATAGTGTTAGATTTGAAATGATGCATAGAAAAATAGCAGTAAACTACAAATATTTTTTTGACTAAGAATGTTTAACTTCAAAATATCTCTGCTTTTTAGAGAAACATATTTCAATTCAAAGACATCTTACTGATCTGCTGAAACTAGCTGACCTGAAAGAAGGTGAGTTTACCATGGCAGTATCCAAGAACACAGATCTTCAAGTTACAGGTATTTACATTTTTTCTTAGTTTTGATTTTTAACACACTACATATATTTATAATGTTTGAAGACTCGGAGTTTCATAAAAACTAGCTTTATCACTTGTTCCCTTGCTTATTGAATGTTGTACTTCTTTCAGTAAACTTAAGGCCTTAATGATTCCTTTCCATCTTTTTCCTCTGCATTGTAGCATTTCTAATGTTGGCAGTGGGCATGGATCAGCAAAATGTTAATTCCAGTCTCATTTTATTTGAAGTGTCACAATAACAGGGAAGCTGATTGTCATCTTTGCAGTGTTTGAATATCAGTTAAAAAAATATGTATTCTGGTTTGAATTGGTTTTTTTTTTTTTTGCCACTATTAATATCTGATGCAGATGAATATTGGAGGATGGCTTTAAGACGACAAAGTGTTTTTATTACAACTTCTATTTTTTCTCTGATTACATGTATGCATTTAGTGCTGGCAGTGGCAGCCCTTGCAACTGAAACTAGTTTTTATTCACAGATCAAAAAAACCATCAGAGTCCACATAGGGTCTGCATCATCCGGCTCTTGTGCTTTAGTGGAGTGGCCACTGATGGAAATAATAGCCTACCTCCATGTCTGTTTAATTTTACTAATAAATATGCCAAAAACATCCTATAGAGAGTTTGTTCCATTTTTAATGAGGAGATAGATCATAAGTATCTCATAAGTCTGGTACTTGTAGCTGTTACTGAGCCGAGTTAGATGTAAATCCATGGTAGTGATAAGAAATTCCTTATTCCCTTGCCTGTTCTCAACAGTAATTTTTTTTATTTTGCCATGGATGTAGCATTCTTCTGCCACGTGTGTTAATGGACTGACTTATTACCATCACCTCGTGTGTTTGATACTCAGTAAATCATAAGTCAATAAAAGAGACTGATCAACATTAGCCAACACTGGGGATTTATTTGGTGAGCCGTAGGCTGCCTCTGTTGCCTTTGGTGACATGGGACTCTGCGTGGACACAGTAATCCACTCATTAAAAAAGTCATAAAAAGGAATTTAACCATTGTGCAAGCCTGAGATAAGTAATTATTATTACAGATCCCCATGTTGTGTGGCATGTGTCAGTATCCATCCTGTATTACTCAAACACATCCAGGCTTTTCTGCTAAATTCTGCAGGAGAGCTTGTTTGATATTCAGCAGACTTAAGACCTGCAGTCAATGTGTGTGTGCTCTCGTACATAGTTCTGTGTACAGCTCTACAACATACGTCTCCCAGTAGCTAGTTTCCGTTTAGGTTAGTGCTTCAGATGCCTCAGTGCCTTTGGTGTCAGATAATCTTGCCTTTGCTTTTTTGTCCCTTATGCAAGAATGCCAAGAAAAGTTATTTTAACATAAACTACATTATCTTTTTTGCAGCTCAAAAAGGTACCAGGTGCTTGTTTGATCTAAAAGATTTGGGAGGGGGAAAGACAGATTCTTGTTCTAACCTCTTCAGTTGGGTTTTTTTTGAAACATTGCAAGTCTCTAGACTTCACATATAAAATTCTGTTATTCTGCAGTTCTCTTTGGAAGTTGCATTAGCCTCGTGTGGCTGGAGTAAAAAATACTAGAAGACAAAAATTAAAGTTTGTGGAAGTTATGATCTTTAAAGTAATAATGTCTCTTGTCTGTGTTCTGTGGAGTAGAAGAAGCAACCCATAAATTTGACGTTTGTGTGTGCCTGAAATAGAATATACCCTGGGGAATTAATGATCTCTAGCACCCATCAGCAATACCTTGATTCTTTTTTCTCAATGTGCATTTCATATGTTTCTCATACTGCTTCTTTATTTGTGTTTTCAGAAGAAAAGAAGCCTTGTCCATTGTGTCCTGAGGAGCAATACAAAGCTTGCTATAGCCACAAACTCTATCGTCACCTTCAGAATTTCCACTGGAAAGTTTCTGTTGAGTTTGAAGGTAATGGCAATCGTATTTGAACAGTAAATTCTGGAGGAAATTGTGGACATGTAGGACATTGTTCAAGTATTTATTTAGTGCCAGTATTTAGTAATTTTATCTGTTTTTTTTAACAAACTCTGTGATCTGCTTGTAAAATGCATTAAAATCCCTACCTGAAGTTTAAGAAGGAAAAGAAAGTGAGCAGTATGTGTTTTTTAAAGAACTAGGTGTGTGAGTTTGCAGGAAATCAAATGACTAATCAGGAGATGAACAAGATTAAAGTGAAATTAAAATTATCTGACTGGAGTTCTGGTTCTGCATGCACTGGCAGATGTCTTTTTGTTGTGGTGTTGTTTTTATTTTTTTCTCTAAACCATGGAACGTATATTTTATAGGACTATTCACTCAAGTCTTTTAGCCAGGTGACAATAGTTTTATAAAATGCTCACAGGTGCTTTTGAAAGTTATATACCATATGGCCTGAAGACTCACTGTAGCTTTGTAGGATGCTGACAGACTTACCAAAATGAATTTCCTGTATGTAATTTTTTCAGATTTAAAAAATTCATAATGTATAATTAGCTGATGAATTTCTCTGTGCAGAAGGTGAGTTTGTAATCAAATTGGATGATGTTCTCTTGTTGCTGTCTTGTGGCAATATTTGGGAATCTTAAATAAGACCATGCCCTAAAATCCAGAACATTTAGAATCAGAGTTTGTGGTATAGGACATATGCGTTGTTGTTACTTACTGTACTATGAGGTGACAAGAATTTGTTTTCTAGGGTACAGAATGTGCATCTGCTACTTACCTTGTCGTTCAGTAAAACCAAATCTTGTTGGAGACCAGGTAAAAATGCTGAGTCACAGAAATATTTGGGGGAAATGAGTGACTTGGGGGAACTTTTGCAATCTGCTTAGTCTCAAAATATGTCTTGCTATCCGGTGTGGGATTCCAAAAGCTTATCGGTCCAGAGTGTAGGTATCTGATATAACCCTTGAGTAGCTGAATGTAGTTGTGTGTCTCTCTTGCTTTGGTGGGTAGCTGCCTAGATCACGTAAAACTGTCACAGTTGGGAGTAAACAGCAGCTTTGTGTGGAAGAGATGAAGGATTTGTTAGACTTGGTGATGGATGCTTCTCAGTTCCTTCACTGGGTGCTGAGTACATGGAGTATTGGCAGAGTTTAATTGATATGTGCTAGAGGTAACAGACAGATGACTTCTTCATCTGCTTCTGTTCAGATGTTCTTCTACTTTAACCATATTTATGTATTCTGAAGCTATACATATTTTATTTTACAGACATTTTCAAAGATGGGAGCCCATTACCATTGTATCATCTGTTCAGCAACTATCACACGAAGAACTGACATGATAGGTCATATTAATCGTCATGTGAATAAAGGAGAAACTGAATCAAGGTTTATTACAGGTAGGTTCTTACTTCTAGAAAACATTCAGTCTCTTAATACTATCTGGCACATGGAGTAACTATGAATAAAGGAGAAATTGAATCAGGGTTTATTACAGGTAGGTTCTTGTGTAAAACATTCAATTTTTTAATAATATCTGGCACATGGAATAACTGATATGTGGGTGAGACACATGAGAAAAATTCCAAACCAGATTTAGTTTTACTAATGAGAAATCTGCCCTTAATACTTGAGAAGTTTTTTCTTTTGCTCAAAGGCGTAGTGTTGTGATTTAGTCTCTGCATTGACCAGCTGCTCTGTTCTTACTGATAAATAATAGTCTCTTCACAATTAGTTTAATGTTGTAAATGTAGGTTTCTGTCTTGCCAAAAAAATTAAGGACATGAAACCTATAAAACAATATCTGTATGGAGAATTTAATGGCTGTGTATTTGGGTGTGTGTATTTGTAAATCAGTCTTGAGTAAATCTCTGCAATGCAAAAACCCTTTGCTGTATATCCAAACTGCATCAGCATGGATTTGCAAAAAAAGATGACTTTTTTTGTCCAGTCCTGGAGAGTCACTATAGAGCTGTCCATAGTTCTTTAGTAAATGACAATCCTGTCTGACTACAACATACGTCTCCCAGTAGCTAGTTTCTGTTTAGGTTAGTACTTCAGATGCCTCAGTGCCTTTGGTGTCAGATAATCTTGCCTTTGCTTTTTTGTCCCTTATGCAAGAATGCCAAGAAAAGTTATTTTAACATAAACTACATTATCTTTTTTGCAGCTCAAAAAGGTACCAGGTGCTTGTTTGATCTAAAAGATTTGGGAGGGGGAAAGACAGATTCTTGTTCTAACCTCTTCAGTTGGGTTTTTTTTGAAACATTGCAAGTCTCTAGACTTCACATATAAAATTCTGTTATTCTGCAGTTCTCTTTGGAAGTTGCATTAGCCTCGTGTGGGTGGAGTAAAAAATACTAGAAGACAAAAATTAAAGTTTGTGGAAGTTATGATCTTTAAAGTAATAATGTCTCTTGTCTGTATTCTGTGGAGTAGAAGAAGCAACCCATAAATCTGACGTACTGACTTTCTTCAGAATTAGACTTTTGTTTCTAAACTCGTATAAACTAGATTGGCAGCATTTTAAATAATTGGAATGCTGAATCTTTTATTTTTGCAAGTTGTCTGTTTTTTACAGCTGCCCAGTAAAAAGCACATTATTGATTAGCTGGTGTGTAAAAATTAACTTTTTTCTGCCACAGCCGGGACTGTTGCTGTTGAAAATTGGGCTGATTTCTGTCTCTGTCTCTGTGTAGACACACAGATTTTATCTAGATAAAATATAAGAAATAAGATATATAATATAGATGAGACTGGGAGCTGTGAGGGTCATACTTCTTTCTGTTTCCAATATGCAGTTTATCATAGACTCACAGACTGGTTTGGGTTGGAAGGGACCTTAAAGCTCATCCAGTCCCAACCCCCCTGCCAGCAGCAGGGACACCTTCCACTAGACCAGGTTGCTCAAAGCCTCATCCAGCCTGGCCTTCAACACTTCCAGGGAGGGGGCATCTACAACTCCCTTGGGCAACCTAGGAGTGGTAGTTTAGTGTCTGGGGATCAGTTTGCATGTCAAAGCAGTGATAATGTTACCATCCATACCGTATTCCATACCTTTAACTTTTATAATAGAGTTTGTGTTGCACAATATATTAATCTCTGTATGGTTCCTTTCAGAGCTGTTAGTAAAGAGTGGCTCATTTGTTGTTTTTTAACAAAGTGCATGTGGCTGTTTTTCCTCATGAGGAGAGGAGAAATTCAGAGGTCAGATTTTTCATGCTTTGGAGACACTTCAACAGCACAGCGGGGCTGGGAACGTGAGGCACGTGGTAGCGCAGTTCACAGATATGTGATCTGTGTATTTGAAAGCACTGAGAGACAGGCAGGGTGAGCACTGAAAGTATCTAGCTGATAGCTAACACATTTTCCCTGGTTGTTTCTGGGTATATTTTGGTACTGTTAGACTGGGGATAAATTGCTCAGAGGAGTGACAGCGTGCCTTCACAGCTGTCAAATTGAGAAAGTTGTTTTGCCACAGACTATTTTATACAAAGCTTAGGGGCTGAAATTGTCCCTACGCTCGTGCTGTCTGTACACATTTCAGGAAGCTGTTTGCTAACTCATGCAGATGAAATTAAGGGTTTTGAGGGATTTTTTTGCAGTTCATTGATACACATTCAGGATTATGTTTTAATTAACTAGCAATGTATTTTGTTTGAACATGCAAAACAAATGTGCTAAGCCTCAGGCTCAGGGGCTTGCTTTCTTAAATTTGAATGAATACATAGGAACCCAACTGAGAAACAACAAATCTGATGTTTTATAGGAAGAAAATTGTGGCAGAGCTTGATCCTTGTCTGCCACTCCTGAGACCAGAAGATAAGTTGCCTGCTTTTTTTCCCTGTACATACTAATTAACTGATCCATGTGTGCCAATTAGATTACTGCATAATCCAGACTTCTTGCTATATGGGAGCGAATTTTCAATTTAATTTATCAAATGTGCTAATGTTAATTTCAGTTCCCAGTAACTCTTGCCTTT